CAATATATACGAGACGCTGCCTACCTGCATCCGCGTTATAAAAATGTCCATAAACAATTGGTAAGTTTATATACTTTTGGTTTGAAAATGTTTGGTTAAGTACCTAGAATTCAATAATTTGTTGTTTGTAGGTTTTAGATGTGTAGAAAGTGTTTTTTGAGCAAATGTTTGGTTTCTGCAGGTTAATCTCAGAAGTGAACTGCGTGAAAATGATGTATGGCTGCAAAAGTTGATTCAATAGTTTAATTGATTGTTTTTTGATTGTTTAATTGATTTGTAAAAGTTGATTCAATAGTAGATGATCGGAAATAAGAATTATTGCTTATTTTTTGATTGTTTAATTGATTTGTAAAAGATGATTTGTAAAAGTTGATTTGTGTAATTGATGCGAATATAATTCTTATTTGTGCTTGTTTAATTGATTGAAATGTAATGGTTGATTTTGTTGATTTCAATCTGCATTATGTTGAAGGCAAAATTGACTATCGCAATGCGAAATGAAAATCGCAATGCGAAATGAAAATCGCAACGAGAGAATCGCAATGCGAAATGAAAATCGCAATGCGGAAATGAAAATCGCAATGGGAGAATCGCAATGCGATTTTAATTTCGCATTGCGATTCTCTCGTTGCGATTTTCATTTCGCATTGCGATTCTCTCGTTGCGATTTTCATTTCGCATTGCGATTTTCATTTCGCATTGCGATTCTCTCGTTGCGATTTTCATTTCCGCATTGCGAAATGTAATGGTTGATTTTGTTGATTTCAATCTGCATTATGTTGAAGGCAAAATTGACTATCGCAATGCGAAATGAAAATCGCAACGATAGAATCGCAATGCGAAATGAAAATCGCAATGCGGAAATGAAAATCGCAACGAGAGAATCGCAATGCGAAATGAAAATCGCAATGCGGAAATGAAAATCGCAACGAGAGAATCGCAATGCGATTTTCATTTCGCATTGCGATTCTCTCGTTGCGATTGTAATTTCCGTGTTGCGATAGTCAAATGCATGCCTAATAGTGATAACAACTGAATAACAAGAGTTGGTTAAGTCAAAATGGTTGGCCTGAGTCATTAATTCAACTGAAAATGTTAAAAGTTCACACATAAAATCCACATAATACAACGTTTGCATTTAAAAATCACCTAAGTTAACAGTCCCAAAAGGTGAAGCCAATTGTGATTGGGATTTTGAAGATGGTTGCCTTTTGCTTGACCATATGAGCTTTGGATTTGATGAGGATCCATATTTTGGTAGAGGAAAAGATGATTTGATGGCACTGGTGATCCACATGTCAACCTTGTATGACCACTTTCCTTGCACCGACTACATGTCGATCTCTTCTTCTCTTCACCCTTAGACGGTATACGATCGTGACTTTTTGGTCGGCCAGGTAGCCTTCTGTCCATGGCTGGTGGCAAAACTGTTTGTAAGTCATCTGGTATGTCCCACTCAGAAGGATGTGGAATAGGGTAGACAATCTCGGCATAAGTCTGTCGATAAACTTCTGTAGTGTAGCAATCCATAGCGTATGCGCTTGAATCATCTTGGTTTAAATGAAGAGCAACTTTTATAACATGGCCACACGGATAACCAGATGTTTGCCATTTCATACAACTACACGTCTTTGCATTTAGATCGACTAGCCCATTTAAGTTATTATCCAGTACTTGAAACAAAGTGTTTGAACATGGTTCAACTCTCCATGACGTTGACTTCACAACACGTTTCGTTATCTTTTTTTCAGTCCATGGTGTAACACGATGTTCCAATGTTCCTGTAAATTTAAATAAACAATACTTAGTAAAATATATAAATATGATAAGTTACGAATTCAAAGAAATAATACCTGCATGGTTTCTTTTCTTGTAGTACCACTGTTGAATAGAGGCTCGAAAAAACTCCATTAACATAGTAATGGGTAATTTCCGGGAATGACGACTTAGAGCGTTGATTGATTCTGCACTATTAGACGTCATGAAACCATATCTTGCTCCAAGTTGATGTACTCTTGACCATCTTTCAAACCCGACATCTTCTAGTGTTTGAGCACACTGAGGCAAAACACGTCTTAAACAATTTATATGCTTATTGAAATCCACTTCCCGATAAGCTTTTACAGCCTTCCAGTATGTCCATTTGTGCTTTTTTATACCAGCAGACCTTGATTTTAGATTTCTATACAAATGAACACCACAAAGTCCATGAAAAGCATCTGGGAAACACCTTCTAACAGCGTTGTCAATTGAGTTTGCCCTATCGGATATGATTGTCAGATTGCTAATAGGACCTATGCAATCCCTAAGATGCCCCATAAACCATGTCCATGAATCAGAGGTTTCAGATTTGCCAACCCCGTAAGCTATTGGCAATATCCCATTGTTAGCATCCATGGCTACTGCTAATAAGTTTACTCCAAGGTATCGACCTTTCAAATGTGCTCCGTCAACTATAATAACTGGGCGCATGCAAGTAATAAACGAACGAATCTACAAAATAATATACACAAGAAATATAATCATTTAAATGTGAAATGCATGTAACTAACAAAAATGAGTCAACAAAATTATATTGATTTACTAACCGTAGCACCAATGGCGATAAACAGCAACTCAAAGCGTCCATCTCTATCTGTTTTGATATGAGTTACCGACCCAGGATTTTTCAGCTTTAAATTGTGACAATAAGCCGGCAGTTGGGCAAACGATGCTTCTGGCGACCCCCTCAACAATTCCAAGGCATAACATTTGGCTCTCCAAGCTTGAGAATATGATATACTAATCTTGAACCGAGCATTCATGTCAGTCATAATTTCATGTCCCCGATATACCCTGCCATTCAAAAACATTAACTCAGCCAGAAAACCACCCAACACCTTTTTGTTTGCCTGTCTATGGTGAGGAAAAACTTGGGTTCTTGAACATGTATGTTTATCAATAAAAGTCCTAACTTGAAACATTTTGTAATCTTTTATTCTCTTTGCAATCATACGCCACGTACAGTTTTTGTCAATCATACACCTTGTTTCGAAACGATCTTTGCTTGATTTGTTAACTTTTAGTTGATAGCCATCTTCCACACATTTCGTATATAAAGCTATCTTCAAGTCTTCCTTTGTATCAAAACAATCATCTTTCTTGATACGAATAACTTTTGTGTAACAATCAACTGCTTTCTTTATCAACTCTTCTTCCGGTATCTGAAGTAATTCTGGCATATTCCAGTTATACGCCCGTGGCATTTTCTTTTCTTCGGGGACTTTTTCTTCTTCTTTTTCTTCTTCAGGATTATGAATTACAGAATGGATGTTCAACATGTTCATTCACAGTCGTAACTTCCTCCTCATTATCATCAACATTACATTCTTCGGCAACGGCTGTTTCATCATCAAAATTCGGGTATTGACCAATATCAATATCATTACACGCATGGTCTGTTTCTTCTTCTGAAACATCATCAAAATCCGTGTATTGACCAATATCAAAGTCCGGATATTGACCAAGACCAAATTTCGAATACTGACTAGTACTCACAATTTTTTCTGTTGGCTCATCATCGTCTAACTGGTCAATACGAAAACCGGAATTTGGTGCTGAAAGTTGATTGGGATTTGGATTAGAGAAAGGTTGTGGGTTTTGAGAAAAACTTAGTTGATTACTACCCGCTACTGACCCAACAATACTACTTCTAGGTTCAACAACATACAATGTAACATCATCTTGTGAAACCCTAATGTAAGCAATGAATCGTTCAACATCTTCATTGTCGGTTAACAAATAAACTTTACCATTTCTCTGATAAGATAGCCTAAATCCACTTAGGGGCTCTAAATTCAATTTATTTGAAACACGTAGCATTAGAGTTTCATAAGTTAACTTTGTAAAGACAATTTTAGTTGAAGATTCATGGGTAAAGGCATATATTGTAAAACACCATGAACATTATCCCATGACCCTCCAAAACACAAATCTATCCAAACATATCAACATTAGATGATTTCATGGTAAATTAATTTACTAAACAGACGAGCTGCGAAACTAAAACCTGTTGCCGGATTGGGAAGGATGTCGTTGGATATAGGAACGGATGTCGCCGGAGAGAGTGATAGATGGAGATGGAATGAGTTGCGATTTAGGGATTTAGTTTATGATTTCAGTGTTATATACCCAAAATTTCAGTGTTGTGATTTACAGATTCTCGTTGCGATTTACGGATTCTCGTTGCGATTTACGGATTATCGTTGCGATTTACAGATTCTCGTTGCGATTTACGGATTATCGTTGCGATTTACGGATACGCGTTGCGATATACGGATACGCATTGCGATTTACGGATACGCGTTGCGATATACGGATACACGTTGCGATTTATGTGTTCGCGTTGCGATTTTCATATTCGCGTTGCGATTTTGGAAAATCGCAATGCGAATTTGTACTATCGCATTGCGATTTTCAAGAATCGCGTTGCGATTTTGGAAACTGATTTGCGATTTTGGGGATCGCGTTGCGATTTTTATTTCGCGTTGCGATTTTGTTGGTCATTTTGGCAAATCCAAAAAAAGTTGGTTAAAATCGTATATTATAACTTTTTTTTGGTCACTGAGGCGATTTTCTCTAAAAAAAATACCCAATAATCAATTCAAGACAATATCCATTTATAAAAAAATACAATTCTGATTAATAAATATGTTTACTAATAGAAATACGCTCTGCATAAATATGATATTATTATATCAAATATTATTACTTTTTTATCTATCATGTGATGTATTTTTAAATAGAAAAACTAGTTATAAATTAATTTAAAAAACTAAAATTTTGTTGAGGGATTAATTTATAATGTTTTAAAATAAAACGTAAATAACTAAAAGAAATGGAAACATTGGGGAAATAAGTACGAATGTGCGTTGACCGTTAAGCAACAAAATAGGGTTTCAATGCACTACACTCGCCCAAGTATAAAAGCGTATTTTTTCCCAGTCCTCTCACAAGCCCTAGTTATTAGCGGGCGGAAGCAAAGAGCCACATGATCTACACTTCTTCCTCTAATCATGGTCAGATCACTTTATCTCTACTTAGGCTTCTGATTCTTTATCAAAACTTAGTACTTTTGTTCACAAAATTGATCACTCCAAGCGTATCTCTATTGTTTTGTAGACCTTCAAACGTCGGAATGGTGACCGCAACAAGCATGGCCGTGGCCATGTCAAATTCATCCGCTGCTCTAACTGTGGCAAATGTTGCCCCAATGCAATTTTCATCTATAATTTATGATGGCTTTTCTTTTCCGTTTTTGATTTGTTTTTTCATTGTTTGGAATATTAAAGGATAAGTCGATCAAGAGATTTCTTGTGAGGAACATTGTCGAACAAGCTGCTGTTAGTGATGTCCAGGAAGCCTGAGTCTATGACTGTAATTTTCATTTAATTTCTCAATTACATTCCAACTTTCTCGTTTCATTGCCTATGTTGAAATCATTATTTGGTCAATCATGTGTAGCGTACACTCTGCCTAAGCTGTATGTGAAGATGCAATACTGTGTTTCATGTGCGATCCACTCTCATGTCGTGAGAGTCCGATCCCTTACTGACGGGAGGAACCGTGATCCACTCCAGCGCTTCATCAGGCGCAGGGTATGTTTTTCTTTATAACCCTTGATTCAATGCTTCCCGTATCTTGCTAACAAGTATTTCGATGATCTTGTGATGTGAATGAACGCTGCTTGACCATTCCTTGCTTGGATTGATTATTGTTTTCTTTCATCTTGTGGTTTGATTATGGTAAAAGTTATATTGTTGTTATATTTGAAGGTATGATTCCTTTGCCATTTGGTGTAGTGTTAATGGAGTTTCAGACTCGCTATAGAAAAGCTTCGTCAATTTATGTCATAAACGTGTTTAAACAATGATAGCACGCCTTAAACACGGTTAAGACTCGATCGAAACATGGCAATTTAACATGTGATATATGTACTAATTAAGTTTTATGTTATAAATTATGTCTTAGAACGTTTTTACTAGACTTTTGTGGTTGCTTATTGATTGTTACTTGGGGATCATTGAGAGGGTTTATAGAAAGAATTTAGCAACAGCTGAAATTTAGAGACTGTAACACCCATAACCTGTATAATTATACCTATATAGATTATAGATGTCACCCGAATTTGTAAAACCATTTTCCAATTCATAAGTGATTTAAAATTTATTTGCTTAAAATAGTAAATGATATTATAAAAATAGCATATCATATAAATTATGTTTCGTTATAACAAATTTAATTCAAAAGATTTTTTATGAATAATGTCGTGAATAGTGAACAGTGAGGGTATCAATTCCTGTAGCAGGGTATCGGCACCCATAAAATATTTTGGAAATTTTCTTAAAACGTAGGTACTATTCATTACTGTTTATTGTTACAGTAACTGCTACAGTAACTTCCGAAAATACATAAAAATTCATAAAAATTTAACCTTTCTTCACTATAAAGTTACCATTTTGTTTCCAAATTTATTCATCAAAACAAATAGAAGATTATTAATTACATGACACTATCTAAGTCAAATTCCATCATAGGATATTTTACTGATATTGAAATATACTCCTCGATGCTTGATGTCACTTTGAACTCTTTAACCCACTACTGCTTTTTACCTACGTGTGAAAATCATCACATGCTAAGTATATTGTCACGGGCTAGAAACTTGGGTCAGAGACATTGGTGTAAGCGTCCGATAAAGAGGTTCAATACGAAGTATCTGACTTACCGAGACCATTAGACTTAGCCCAGTTCTTGGAGAATGCTTAACAAGTCCGTGAAGGATCTATTCTGAGGCATCCGAGAGAAGTGACGAGGGCGATGGGGGCAGTTTTGTCAAGGCTTGTGGATTTGAACCGAGACATGTGTACAGATATATGTAAGAGAATAATACAGACTATTGGGCTTGCCTAGAACCATCAGATTATGCCCGTTCCTTGGAGGATTCTAGAAGGATAATGTTAGGTGGGATTTCCTTAATTTAAGGGAGGTGGGAATCAATCTTAGCCCTTCATGTAAAACGATCTTGGCCATCGATTGAGAGGGAACTCAACTATAAATAGAGAGTTCTCCTCATTTGTAATCACTTATTCCATTATTCTCTTTGTGAGAGAGTAATATAACTCTGAGGCATTTGCTCTATTCTTTCTGAGTTCTTTGTCCTTTGTTCTTGTTGCCTATCTTGGTGGCAAGGAGTAGCCACCTTCGTGTTAGTACTTTCATACGATAGTCCGACCTTGTGGTTCGGAGTAGCCACGTTGGTGTTAAAACTTCCGCAATCCGAAGCCTTGAGGGCTTGGTTCCAACCTTTATGAGTTTGCATGCTCACTAGGCTTGGGTAAGGCTTACTTAGTCGCAGAGAAGATTGAGGAGCGTCAAGAAGCGTCTAAGGCCGCACAACCCGTCAGTCATTGACTCTGATATTTCGATGGTTTGAGGCGTCGAAGTTTTGAGGGCGTGACAAGTGGTATCAAAGCTAGTCGTTGTGGGCAAATAACGATCGTTTCGACCGTGTTAGGTGGAAGGTACGAAACCGGGTAAGTTTGTTTTACTTACTGTTCAATCAATTTACATTCGTAATTGAGTTGGCAAAGTTAATTAAGATGGGGCACAAGAAAAAAGGAGTTTCCGCACGCAAAGGCAAGGAGTGCCATGGTGGGAAACGGGAAGAGAGTCCGGTGGACTTGAGAACATCATCGGTGTCCAAGTATGAGGATGCCATGATGAGTTCACAAGAAATGCTTGAGGCAACAAAAGCACACCAAGGGGAGCCAGTTCTCAAAGTAGATAGGCTCGATGGTGACGCTGAAAGCATGTTCGAGCGAGGCAACACGTTCTCTCATGCAGACGAAGAGAGTCTTGATGAGGAACAAGAAAAACTGACAATCGACGAGAAATGGGCCTATTTGATGGAAGGTTTGGCTTTCCACACACAAAGGTTCATCAAGTTAGAGGAAATCTCAACTTTGTGGGAGAAGAGGGTCGGGACACTTGAACAATCCAAGGATGAGGTCAAGGAGACCCAGGGTGTCGTGGAGTACCGCTTTGATAAATTGGAGTTCATAGAGGACATATTCAAGGACGAGACGCAACGAGTTCTCAACGAGTTGGAGACGGTTCGAGAGAGTAATGCCAAAGAAGCCAAGGTAACGAATTTGAGGAACGAGGTGGATAAGCTCAAGAGAGAGCTACTCATATGCAAGGGAGAAATGAGTGAATGGGGTGCGCTCAAGACCTTCTTGGAAGGACTTAGACCAAGGGTGATGCTCGGGGGAGAGCAAGAAAAAACCCAGAGACTTTCGGAGGCCATAGTTGTAGCCGGAACGCTGACAAAGCTTGTAGATGTCAAGCCAAGTAGCAATATGTCGTCCAGACTCATGCCCAGGGATAGTGGCAATAATGGGGGAGACCGGGAATAGGTGCAGTGGGGAGATAGTAGAGAAAGCTCTTTGAGTGGCCAATGTGAGTCAGCGACTGTTCGTAGCCAAGGAAAGCCATCGGGAAAGAATGACAAGGTTAAGTCCGGTGTGAACAAGAAGGGAAGCAAGGAAAAACTGAAGTGTTACTTCTGTGATGGTCCTCACTTGATTAGAGGATGTCCCGAGAAGCGTCACCTTGCAACCATCATGAGGATGATGGGAGAAGGAGAAGTAGCGAGAGTTGGCAGATGCACAAGTAAAGCTGCCAAGTTAATAAAAAGACTTGGTCCGGTTGAGGGGATCAATACGACTAAGCAAGGATTAAGACGAGGCAAGGCTGCTGAGGTAAAGACAGCCGAACCCAGAGGAAAGCTCGATGCGATTGTGAGTGATAAAATAATCAAGTCAGGAGCAAGCCTTGGTGAGGTTACATGTTCCAAAGTAGCCGAATCAAGGGGCAAGCATGGTGCAACTACAAGCTGTCAAGTAGTTCGCCCAAGATCGAGACGTGACGAGACTGCCTGTGTCAAAGCAGTCGAGCACAGGAAAGGACCCGGTGCGATAGTTAATGATAAAGCCTTCAAGCCGAGGGTGCAGAGTGAGCAAGTTCGCTCACAGTATGCCAAGATGAAGGCGTGGTCCAAGTTGAGACGTCTCAGGCATAAGGGGATACTTAAAGAGTATGTGAGTCGATTCAGAAGACTCATGCTCAAAGTCCCGAGTTTGACTGAAGAAGATGCGTTCTTCACCTTCATGTTCGGATTAAAGCCATGTGCGAAGAGAGTGTTGGAGCAAAGGGAAATCAAGGAGCTGTCTAAAGCCTTGATAACCGCCGAATCCATCAAAGAATTTGGAGTCAAGAAGAAGACTTCCAAAGCAAAACCTAAAGTCGAGAGTAGCGGCAGGAGATTCCGCGATGAAGGCAAGTCAGAATATGAGGAATGTTGTTCCTCGAGTGGCAGAATAAGTCAACTCAATGATGAACCAGACGGTGGATATGGGGAAGATGTGCGTAGTCGTGGCACAAGTTCAAGTGCCGAAGATGCTAAGCCAAGAGTAAGAGTCGAGCAAATGAGAGGGCGCAAACTTAAGATGCCAGAAGTGTTGCAAGACTACCCAATGGGATCCGAGTTATCCAAGGTGATGGATGAGCCCAGGATCGAGTTATCTAGAAAAGAGGACGAACCAATGATCGAGGGGGTGTTGAGACTTAGCTCAGTACAATTCATTTCTGTCAAGGCAATTAGAAGCCAAATGCAGGAGACACCACCCATTTCAAAGGTGTGAAGTGATCTCCAACCTTCGTGCTAGAAGGGAGGATACAAGAAGGGGCATCGAAATTTGCCGTGAGAAAGTGTCGATGCATGGTTGTGCAAAGAACTCCAATAACAAGGGTTCAATGCGGGGAGTGTCAGACTTCATGGAGCAAGAAGGGCTGACGTAAATTGGAGTAAATGCAAACTAATCAGAGGGGAAGGTACATCTCAACACTATTTTTGTGTTCTTTTGAGTTTGATTTGTCGTTCTAAGCGAATGTATGTCAGGCAAGACCTAACTTTTGACCCGGAGGGAACAAAGTTTGTATGGGATCCAAGAATTTGCCGCAGGGCCGGGAGGGTCCAAACTGAGACAAATCAAGACTTGTAGGAAAGAGTTCCTACGGTAGAGATGTACTTGTGGGTGTGCTAGCCCATCTCATCACTTGGTGGCAAGAGCCAAAGCAAACACAGCCGTTAGTGGAGGTGTCAAAAGGCAACCAAGTTGATGTGAAGTATGGCGTGAAAGATCGTGAAGTTACATGGGACAAAAACCAAGGCAAGCAATTCGTATGGGAGGATCGAAACAAGCCAAGGCACTGAAGAGTATCCAAGATGGTGTTGCCCAGGATCGTCGAGTACAGCGACGAGGGCGTCGCTAGGTTCGGTGGGGGAGAATGTCACGGGCTAGAAACTTGGGTCTGAGACATTAGTGTAAGCGTTCGACAAAAAGGTTCAATACGAAGTATCGAACTTACCGAGACCACTAGACTTAGCCCAGTTCTTGGCGAATACTTAACAAGTCCGTGTCTTCACTAGATATTTTGAGGCCTGCACTATGTGCCTTCTCTTGAAACTCTAGTGCTACCTAATATGCAACTGCTAGACTCTATGACATGCCATTAATACCAATGATCCTCAATAACATACTTGGGCTTATAGTCAATTTTATTCGATCCATCCATACCCACAGTATTATTCATGATAAAAATCATATATGTTCATGATAACATCATATACAAAAATCAGTGATCAATGCATTTTATAATCAACCTTTGACATATTTAGAATATATCAAATATATGATAAATGACATAAATATCATGGCAACATAAACAACGTCGACTTATCGCAAGTCTTCCTGATGATGTATAAAACATCCATGTATAATTTCATGCATGTATTGCACTCACCTTGACACTTTATAATTTCCAACATATGTGCCTCATTATTATCCATAATAACCCTTTCTTTTTATACTCGAATTGCTTTGAACACCGAGTAAATCACAATCTGTACAAAATATAGATTCATACCTATATATATGTTAGTATTGTACTAACATAAACATATTTCCAAAATAACTTCCATAATCATACTTCAAACTATTCACCAACAACTACTTTAACTCTTATTAATTCTTTTTAATATTGGAACCAAATTTTCCAATTTACACAAAATGGTCCTTCACCATTTTGCCACTTAAAATTTCAATACAAAAATTATAGTATTGAAAATATTACAATTCAAATGCTTTTACAAAAGCATAACTACATTTAAGTACCACAACTATGCAAATGTTGTACTTAAATCACAAATCTTTTCAAACTTTAAAAATAGTCATATTTCACATCTAACACTCATATCAATTTCCAAACAACAATTTCCAGCATAGTACATAAATTATATAACACTTACACAACAACCCATCAATTTTCCATATTCAAACAACTCGCACTACCTTTAAAGAATCAGTATTCTGTATTGATATACACACTGGAATTTAATTTCGTTTATTCCGTTGAAAACTAGACTCGAATATGAATCTACCCATATAAAGAAATCTTTCTAATTAATTTTGTACAATTTATGGTGAATTTTCAAAGTTGACCAACAGAATCTGCTGTCCGATTTTTTTCTGACCTTTCTTTGGTTAAAAATTCATATCTTTTTGTATACACCTTGAAATTGATCTTTGTTTATTTTAAACAAAACTAGATCGATATATGAACACAAATATATAAAAATAACCTCCAAATTATTTTTATATAATTTTTGGTGAATTTTCAAACCCACTGCTAAATTCAAAATATAAACTGTTTTCTTTAACCTCATCCTTAGGTTCTTCATCAATTCTTTAAAATCACTTAACTCTTCATAACCCATAATACACAAGAAATCAACATCTCCTTCATCAACTCAAGATGAACTTGAACACTAACAATATTATCATGCAATATTGGTACCAAATGATAGCGTTTTTCGCATATAACAATTTTCTATTTTCAGCATACTCAAAATCCTAAGGAAATTGCTTGAAAACTAAAAACTGAACCTTAGGAGAAAACCCACGCAGTTTTGGAGAAGAATATGAGAATGTGAAATGAAATGTTAGGTACATTTCATCTCAATTTACATTTAATCTAACTTTAAATGAATAAAATATTCATTCACTTGAGATAAGACCAAATCACCCTTAATGAATCTTCCTATTCACTATAAAACCAAGCCACCTCATCCTTATCATATTACAAAGTCAAATATGAATTAATTTGACTTTTATTTATGAAATTCCCCTTGAATTTTTAAATCTTGCGTTTTAGTCACTAAATTCCACTATTTCGATTAAATCTGAAAAATTGCACATTTCCTACCAAATTTCTCTAACTAAAATATTACAATAATATTTCCAATCATTTTATAACATCCTTCAAACTTTTGTAAAATTTCAATTCGATCTAAATTTCCGATTCCTTACCGACTTTAACCCTTTCTAATTTTTCTTTACTAAATTTCCAAATCAAAAAAATATAATTTCTATAAACGTCACTCTCAAGAGTGAACTATCTATTTATGAAAATCAAATTCTTTTTTGGAAATTTATCACTTAATTCCCTAAATATTTTCCAAGTTTTATACTTTGACCATCAAATTTTCAAAATTTGCATTTTGGTCATTATCTAAATTTTTTGGGTATTACAATTCTCCCCTCCTTAAGAAAAGTCGTCCTCGGATTTTAAAACTTTCCATGAAAACACTAACTCCCTTTTTATAAGGATTGAACTTTCAATTGTAAATTCGTAACCCTAATTTAGGGTTGTACTGATTGTTAAGACATGCCCACGCCTTAACTATAGACTTCTTCTGCGATAACTCAAGATGAATAGGATGTACTCGCCTTATGTTAAAACCTCTTTTGGTCTTGCCAACTTTTTGAATTCCGATTTTTCCTACTTAATTTGAGTATTTTGTGAAGATCATTTTAATCATTAGATTTGGAAGCTATTTAATCCAAATCTTCAATCTGATATGAAGATGTGTAAATATTATTTCTTCATATCATTTTCTCTTTCCCAAGTAACATCCTCGACATTATGATTTTGCTCAATCACTTTGACTAGAGAAATCATCTTGTTACTCAGTTCTTTAATTTCTCAAGCCAAGATCCGCATTGGTTCTTCTTCATATATCAAATCTGGCTGGATCTTAATTTTCTCTGATGCAATGACATGTGAAGGATCTGATCGATACTTTCCAAACATCGACACATGAAAAACATTGTGCACTTTGTCCAACTCTGGATCTCAATTACCCCCAAAGTTAATGCTAACTGATAAGCCATCAGCCTAACTCTTTTTAATATTTGCATAAAGTTTTGGGTACTTGATTGAATTTCAGTACGATCTTTCATCCAAAGAAGGATGGTAATTTAAAAAGTACTATTTAGATATTATAAGATATGATGAGTGCATGTGTGATTGATTCCAAGGAATCATGGGAAAAGAAAAGTATTTGATTTTAGTAGAATTTTCCTACAATAACAGTTATTAATTGAGTAATAAGATGGCTCAATATGAAACTTTATATGGGAGAAAATATCGAACACCATTGAATGTGTTCGAGTTAAAAGATCAAAATCTTGTTGGCCCAGATTTATGGAAATAGGTTGAAGATAAAGTAAAGATAATTCAAGATAATCTCAAAGATAATATTTGATCAGCATAAGTCGCTTTGGAAAAACAAAATTTTGTGTTTTCAGTGCAAATGAAAAACTAAGTGTGTAATACCCCAAAAATTTGGATAATGACCAAAATGAAAATTTTGAAAGTTTGATGGTCAAAGTAGAAAATTTGGGGAAACGTTTAGGAAATTAAGTGATAAATTTCAATTTCCTAAAAAGAATTCTATTCCATAAATAGATAGTTTACTCTTGAGAGTGAGGTTTTATAGAAATTATATTTTTGGATTTAGAATTTTAGTAAAGAAAAATTAGAAAGGGTTAAAGTCCGATAAGGAATCGGTAATTCGGATCGAATTAGATTTTTATAAAAATTGGAAGGATGTTATAAAATGGTTGGAATGATTATTTTAATATTTTGGATCAGAGAAATTTGGTTTGGAAATGTACAATTTTTTAGATTTAATCGAAACAGTGGAATTTAGTGACTAAAACGCAATTTTTGAAAATTCAAGGGAATTTTAGAAATAAAGTCAAATTAATTCATATTTGACTTTGAAATATGATAAGGATGAGTTGTCATGGTTTTATGGTGAAAAAGAAGATTCATTAAGGGTGATTTGGTCTTATATCAATTAAATGAATATTATATTCTTTTAAAGTGGAATGAAATGTAAACTAAGATGAAATGTACGTAACATTTCATCCAAATTTGTTCAACTTCTTCTCCAAGCAGACGTTGGTTTTCTCCTAAGGTAAGAGAAAGCTTCAATTCAATTTTCAAGCAATTTCCTTAGGATTTTGAGTATAATAAAAATAGAAGATTGTTATATGTGAACAACGCTATCATTTGGTACCAATATTGCATGATAATATTGTTAGTGTTCAAGTTCATCTTGAGTTGATGAAGGGGATGTTGATTTCTTGTGTTTTATGGGTTATGAAGAGTTAAGTGATTTTAAAGAATTGGTTGTAAGAATTGATTAAGAACCTAAGGATGAGGTTAAAGAAAACAATTTATATTTTGAATTTAGCAGTGTGTTTGAAAATTCATCAGAAATTATATAAAATAATTTGGAGGTTATTTCTATATATTTGTGTTCATATATCGATCTATTTTTGTTTAAAACAAACGGGGATCGATTTCAAGGTGTATACAAAAATATATGAAATTTTAACCAAGGAAAGGTAAAAAAAAATCGGACAGTAGATTCTGCAAAACAGATTCTGTTGGTCAACTTTAAAAATTCACCATAAATTATACAAAAATGAATTACAAGGAGTTCTTTATATGGATAGATTTGTATTCGAGTTTAGTTTTCAACGGAAGAAACGTAATTAAATTCCAGTATGTATATCAATACAGAATACTGATTTTTTAAAGGTAGTGCGAGTTGTCTGAATATGGAAATTTTAGAATTTAAGTGGA